GTGTCAGCATTTTGTTTTCTTGTGATTCCATTCCATGTTGACTTCCTTGTTCGGTTGTGTTTGATCCTTGTTGAAAATGAGTGATTGTATACTGTGAAATATATGTTGTGGGTAGCCGTATGGCGTGAATCCTAGATTGTGGAAATATTATGAATACATATTGTTTGTATGAGATTATATGAATAGAATGCATGAGAACATATTGTGAATATGTGTGCATTACTTGATAAATGTATTGATGATATATGAATGTGTTGTGTATGCAATCATGTTATAATTCTTGTGTGATGAATTATGTGAATGCATGGGATTAAGATGCGAGACGGTCTTAAGTGCATTTGGTGGTTGATTGCATATGCATCATTTAGTCAAGAGGCAATGTTTTCTAGTTTCGTGGAGACTAGTGACTTGTCCCAAACCTAGAAGGGTGGGTTTGAAAGCTTAGGGAACGGGCTTTTGTTGTTATCGGTCTAGAAGGGTGGACCCGGTTTAAGTGTAAAAACCGAAAAATGATAACAAGTGTTGGTACCACATGGCACGAGTTACATTGAGTCACATGATTAACGTGTATTGTTGTATGAAAGTTTACCTTTATGTGAAGTATTGAATTGAGAATTATGGATGTATGCATGATGAAATGTGCTTGATGATTATCCATGTTTGTTTACACTTATGTTGTGATATATTTTATGGTTGGAATGAATTGTGGTGAGAAATGTGTAAAGTATGTGTTTTATACTTGTGTATGTATATATAATTATAAGCTTTGACTATTATGATAATATTTCTCACCCTTCTGCTGTTTCATAATGCTCTATGAGGCATTGCAGATTAGGTTGCTGGAGGTCTTTGTGAAGTTTAGCTTCATCCTTTTTGGTCGGTTATGCTCTGATATGTAGCATCGGGTAGTTAGGATTATATAGTATTCGTTTGGGATACATTTGTGTATGTATCTTTTGATAATGTTTTGTAAACATGAATGATATTGTAAACCAAACTGAATTATGTATATAAATGATAACATGTCTTAAGTAATTCAATGTTTTAATCTTCCGCTTTAATTTCTAACTATTGAGATGTGGGTGTAGGACTAAGTTCCTCTGTTGAACCACCCCACTGCTGCATGTCTTTTATAGAGCAGGTGTTGTATGTTATTTTGGTGAATGTTGTGGCATACTTCTTTTATACCATATTTTAATTTACTCTGATGAAATTTATTACGTGCTTGGGTGATTTAATTGTTTATATGGGGGTATTGAAGGGGGTGGTACAATTACCACTAGCGCACCAACATTTTCATTAGTATCCTCATCTAAGGCAGGCTATTCTAAGCAGAATAACATTTACTTCATCTATCGGGACAATCCTTCTTGAAGTAAATAGTATTAAGACAAGTAAATCATTTTAACTTTTACTTATCAACACCTCTGGACTATAGATGTAAACTTGATTCCCTCCCTTTTTGCTTTCCTCCACTCTCACTATTCTCCCTTGAAACATTCAAGCTTTCACCATTATCGCCAACCTTCATATTTTTCATCTTAATTAACTATTTGATTCATATAGCCGATTATACCTCCTCCAAGGTGATAATGTCTTCTTACCACAAAGAATGACATCATTGAAAGGCTCAAAGATCTAGATAAAGAGATCAACTAGAGTAAAGTCTTGTCCCTATCATCAAATTCCATCTTAATATTTTTCAAGTCATCGTGATCTCTTTAAAGTTTGACAATAACTCTATAATGAGTTTGTTTAACATGTCAGGAAAATAGGCATAACAATAAAACTTATCCTCATAGATACTTACCCGAACCCACCCCGAGTTTGATAGGGAAAACCGGTTTTTACTAGGCATGAGTTTGGATTTGGATTTTCCTCGATTAATAAACATGTGGATTGGTCGGCTTAAATCAATTTATACTTTATTACTTTGTTTTATTACAGGATCCAACACCAAATCTAGCTCCCACTCCCCCACAAAGCTGAATCACGACTCTGATACCACTATTGGGGAGTCTGATAGAGTCGGGAGCACCAATGGGATTAGTACTTTAGGGCCACAAGAGAGAGAAGTCACATCTCAACCTAACACCAAGAGGAACACAATCACAACACAAGAATATAACATGGAAACTAACCCAAGCCCCTAGTACACCTACACTATCCAAAACAAATATATAACTATATCTCACAACACTCTAATACAAGAGTATAAGAGAACAAAGAAAGTCTAATACAAGTTTAAAGTGCTTTTGACTATTGCATATTGGAATGAAGAACTTGAATCCTATATATAGCTTTGGAGTCGCTCTTCCTTCACAAAACTAAGCGATGTGAGATTTCAAAGAACTTGTATCCTATATATAACCTTGGATTTTCTCTTCATTCACAAAACTAAGAGATGTAGGACTTCTTCAACATGTATATTTTCATCAATACCCAACAATCTCCACCTTAATTGAAAATAATACATAAGCTTTCATTGTCTTCATGGATAATATACTCCACCATAAAGAGTATCAACATGTATATTTTCAACCAACCCCAATAATCTCCATCTTGATTGAAAATAATACATAAACTTTTGTTATCTTCACCAACAAGCATACTACACCATAAAGAGTATAGTCACTTGAAACTATATCACTCCAAGAATTTTCACATGTCGAAAATTAGGTTGAAACATTGTGGTGCAACTCCCTTGTTGGAAGGAAACTCTTCAACCACCGACATAATTTTGCATCTTGTGTATCTTGTATGTATTAACACATCTTTGACTTGAACTTTCCACAATTCAAAAAAAAAATCTTCCATCGATTTTCTCTAGCCCAAACTACATAGCAGAATTATGTATTGCATCTCAACAACTCTTTCACAACATTACCCTTCTTTTTGATGTGAAAGATAAGACAAAACCGCAACCACATAGCATACTGAGAACACTTATCCCCAGATCGAACCAAAAGCTTTAATTCTAGTTGTTGGAAAAAACAAACAATGCACAGAGAAAAATAGGAAGAACACACTCACAACACAATAACATAACGTGGAAACTCCAAAATCGAAGAAAAAGCACAACCGTTTTCAATAGACAACAAGAGAATAACACTATGTGAAAATTGTTACAACACATAATATACCCTTAACTAACTTAGATCCCTAATACATCCACACTATCCAAAATTAATATTTAACTATATCTCACAACACTCTAATAATACAAGAGCATAAGAGAACAAATAAAGTCAAATACAAGCTTAAAGTGTTTTTGATTGGTCCATCTTGGAATAAAGAACTCGAATCCTATATATAGACATAGACTCTTTCTTCATTCATAAAACTAAGCGATGTGAGACTTCAAAGAAATTGTATCCTGTATATAGCATTAGATTTTCTCTTCATTCACAAAATTAAGCGATGTTGAACTTCTTCAACATGTATATTTTCAACCAACTCTAACATATTTTTAGATTTTAATTTAATTAAAATTTTAAATATTAAAAGTTAAAAAATAAATACCTTAAAATAATATGATAGTGAAAAGTTATGATTGGTTATTTTATATCTCCGTGGAAATATAAGATTTTCATCATTTGACATAGGAATAAAAGTAAAAAGTTTATGAATAAATCATATTCTTAAAAATAAAAGTACTCGAGAATAATTTATTAAAATTTAAAACAAATAAGAAAATATGTAAATTTTAATAGCTTATTTTCAGGAAAAGGCTTTATCCATGAAACGAACATCTTTTTATTCATGTATTTTAAAATTTGTCGTGAGGAATTACAAGATAATAATATTTTAAGTCTATAAGAATATTTTTTATTTTCTACCAAAATATTTTTTAATATATAAATTACACAAATTTAAAATATTTATAATGTTTCTCAATTTTTATTGATAATTTTAAATATATTTTAATTTTTATTGTCTCGATAAGTTTCTCCCTTTTTCTCTCATATCTAAAATAAAAGTTTGAAAATTATCTCCCGTTTATATCAAGTGATTTTAGTGTTTAATGAAGTCATTTTTCCCTAAAAAAAATATAACAATTAACTTTCCTTTTCCTTTCTTCTCTTTTTCTCTAATAATCCTCCAAACATGGAAATTTAACTTCAAAATTCAAATACCTTGTTTGGCCGTTTAACACTATAAGCTATTAACTTTTCAACCTAGGCCTCAAATAAAGTAAAATAATATCTCCAAAGAATGCTATCTTTTCAATGTATTGAAAGGATACACACTCATATAAGGACAAACATTGCCAATAAAATATTAGAAAAACCAAACCTCTTTTCTCCAATCAATGGCTGTGCCATGTCTATTACATATCTCCAAAATTTAAGCTAAGCATAAAAGTCGAAATCAAGTTGTTTAGTTAGTGTGATGGTGAAAGGTTGAATTCATGGAACCGTTTCATCATGCTATGTAACCACCACCATATGGTTCGGTTTCCCAATGTGTAAAGTACGTTCATCTTACGCCACAACAAATGCACTTAACCACTTATGCATTGCCTTTTTATCATTCATAAAGTACTTGCTTTCCAACTACCATCCCATACCCTACCTTAAATCAAAATTCACCCACCTATCCCATTCCCTATCTCATTACTCATTACTCATACACATACTTAGAGTTTCTACTGTAACTAAACTAACTACATTTCAAGGGAATTTGGATGACATGGATTATTATTGCATTATTAAACACACATTTGGTCAAATTCACAACTAAATTAAAATAAACTATATAAAGAAAAAAAACTTCACATGACAAAATAAAATTTTAAAATTTGACTATAAAAGTAAAAAAGAAAATTAAAGATTTCTAATTCTTCAAAATATCAAATCAAAGTCACCCTAAATTCTATTAAGTTACATAATGTAACACTAATAGTAACTAAAAAAAAGTCTCATTAATTTAACTTGTTCTTCAACCTACTTTATTTTTCTAACTAAAGAAAAAAAAGAAAAAAGAAATAATAATAATAATCAAGAACCGGGAGCAGCCGGATGAAGTGGCGAACCGGGAACAACCTCCTTCTTCCGCCGCATCTCCAGAACTTTCCGGTGATGATTAGAATGCATTTCCCTCGAAAAGGTGGGGCTACAAGCGGGTCTATACTCGGGTAACAACCGACCCGACTTGTAACGAACACCACATGCGTTACAGAGCGTTTTCGGTCCAGCCGGTCCGGTTCGCCACTGAGGAGTTTTCTGAACACCACAATGACTGCACCGCCGCAGCAGACCTCTCCCTTCGCCGCCGTCCATTGAACCCATCCTCCTCTTCGGTTTTTTCTCCGGCGGCTTCGAACATTCCTCGAGGTGCGAGGAAGAGGAGGAAAGAGCAGTGGAGCTTGAAGTTGAAGATGAATCGACTAGCGAAACTGGCCACACACGAACTCCGGTTCTTGTTCTCTTGCTTCTCGCTTTCCCCGGTACCGGAGTTTTGAAACACGGCGTTGAAGTAGGTTTTGGTTGAGGAGCCTTTGGTTGAAGAAGATGATGATTCTCTGTCATGGAGAATTGTGAGAAGGAATCTTCAACGAAATAAGATAACCATTCTAAGTTAGCAGCTTCTTCTACCTACAAAAAAAAAACAACCTTAAAAAACAAAAACAAAAAAACAACCTTAAAAAAACTAATGTAAGAGTAAGAGAAACTGTACCGGAACGGTGAGTTCGGTAGTTGGTAATGATTCAAAGTGGTTATTGATTATAGGGTGTGAAATGTCATTTTGAGTTTGGGTATTATCTTGGAAATGGTTTTGTTGTTGTTTTTCTTCTAGAATGTCTTGTTCTTGTTGAGGTTGTTGGAGAATGTCTTGTTCTTGTTCTTGTTCTTCTTCATTGGAAAAGTTGAGGAAATCATCGACAGAGAAATCATCAACAGGAGCTATGTTTTGGACATGAAAATCCGAGGAAGTTGTTTCTGAATTCACACACTCCATTTTTGTTACAACTTGAGGAGAGGGGTGAAGAGAAGATGGAGAGGAGGGTGTAGTGAAAGAATTGAAGGGTGAAAGAGGAAGGTGAGTTTGGTGAAGCATTGAATGAGGGATTACTACAATACAATGTAAATAAAAGAATGTAATGGTTTTGGATTCAACAATGGTGCTCTTATATAAATTTATTTTTGGTTCTAGTTAAAGTATTTTGAATTGATTTTCATACTTTTTCTTTTCTTTTTTTAAAGTAGAATTAATTTTATCTTTGAATATTAATTATAATTTGAAAAATGGTTTATAGCTTTTTAATTTAAATGTGGCTTTACACTTTAATTTATTGTTTGATTCATTTTATATAAATGTTTTTAAATATATATTACTTTTTTTACTTTATATTTAATTTGAATTAATTTCATAATTAAATCAAAATCATTTGTTATCATCGAATGATCAGATAGATACATGCTACAATTTTTGAAAACAATATAGTAAATTTAAAGTTAATTAATTTAATCACAATATAGAATTATTAAATTAATATTTGACGACGGATTAAAATCACATTATAATGATTATACTAAAAATTTTATAAATAAAATTATATATTGTATGCATAAAAATATATACATAATCAATTAAATACTTACAAATTAAGTTTTTTACTTTATAATTATAACATAAATATCTAGAATCGAATATGCTTTAAAAATATATTATTTTGATTTGATAACAAATGATAAAAACATTACTTTAATTTGATAACAAAAAATATAGTATTATAATCTATTTAAAGATATAAATATTTCTTTTAATAAAAAAGTATATCTTAATAATGAGATATAACCATACACAATAATTACATCGTCAAACTTTTTATATACATAAACTGTGTCATAATATCTCATAAATTTAAAAATAAATTTTCTTTTTCAATAAAAGAAATTAATAGTTAAAGTTGCTTTTTTAAATAATCTTTCTCAAATGAAATGTTACGGATTCGTATATTAAATGTGGAAGTGATGAATATTATATTCAAATTATAAAAAAATAAATAAATCAAATATTCAAATTTAGGCTCTTGTATATCATCAACTTATTTATTGTTACCAATTGATGGCAAATGGAAAAAATTTATAGTTTGACGTGTAAGTGGGAAAATTTTTATGAGTAAGCAACATATATATTAAGTCAATAATCATATCACTTTATAATATTTCCTCGTATGGTTTTATATTTTTCTTTTGTAATTTTTGTCTAAAATTTTTTGTTCATTTAAACTGTCAATGCAATATTTATAATATTTTTTTTTCATTTCAACTTGTATTGGTATATTGCAAAAGCATGGTTACTAATGTGGAGAATGGCATATCTCTACCTAGAAACCGTATGGGAAGAACAATTAAATAAGAGTCAAGTTTTCTAGGATTATAAGGAAAATAATTGATCATTTCCCATGCTTATGAGAGAGAAGAATATTATTATCACTTTCTTTGGTTCAAAAATTTAAGTGTAAGAGCTTTCTATAAATACCTTAGTTGTAAGGTTGAGAGATCACATTCAATTTACACAACAATCACTAATATGGAGAGTTTTCCATCATTCATGTGTTAGTTTACTCTTATAGCACGATCTTAAAACTCTTAGACAATCTTATATAACTAAGGGTTATCACTCATTGTAATTTTAGAAAGCACAATTGATGCTCCGGTAAAACTGACATGGGTTATCATTGCTTCAGACGGTCATATGGCTATTCACATCACCGACCCCTTTATCAAATATGGTGAACAAGAAGATATCAACTTTGGTCAACAGTGAAGGTGAGAAAATTGTTTCTTTAATTGGTCAACAGTGAATGTGAGGTAATGAATATTTAATTGGTTTCTTTAACAGCTAACAAACAACAGTATTGTCACAAAAAGTGAGGAAACTGTTTTCATAAATATGATTATTATTTAGCTAATGATATATTCAGTATAAAAAAATACAACATAGTTTCTTCTTAAAGATCTCTGAAGATTCTTTTATCCAAAGAACTTCTCTAGAAATCTAACAGAGGCTTTGTATTTACATATACACAAATATCTCTTGATTCAAGTAATAATCCAGAAAAGAACAAACATCATTTTATGTGTTATTTTATCGGTCAGACTCGTATGAGTATTCAGATTTGACCATAGAATCTGAATATTGCTTCGAGTGGATTATGATTCAGTGGATGTTAAACTATTGACTTCACTTCTTTCACCAAACTCAGTACCTCTAGCACTTGAGTATGCGATGTAAGCTCTTCTTCCATCAAATGTTGTAAACAACCTTTGATAAATAACATGGAAGATGTCTTTGCTCCTTTCTTCGATATCTGCAACAATTACATTTAAATAATGATACTTATATTTCTATGAGTCCATACATGTTGGTCCAGACAAGCTTAACTTTGCCTTATGCCTCAATCTGATAGAAGTACCATGATTCATTCTAGAGTATTAGTCTAGGATGAGTCATGATATGAACAAGATCTTGTTCTTAGCAGAATAATTGATTTCATAGTCTTGGATTAAATTTTTTTACTTTGAAATCTTTGACAAGCATATAATCAGATAGTGTTAGCTACTAGAGATTGGCATAAAACAAATTAAAGCACTATCATATAATTGTTGGCAAAACACGAAGAAGAATTGAAGGTTTCTCATAAAATTGTCCATTAATACAAATTCCATGATGACCCTCAATCAAGGAGCAATGGAGTCACTTATGATATCACCTTAAAGAAAAGACTCCTTATTATCAAATATTGAAGCAATATATATTTGGCATAATCGCTTTCTCTTAAATACTTGATTTTTATTCTAGGATTTAGATGCTTCTTCAGAAGTAATAATGACCGATAGATCCAGACTACTCTTTCTTAGGAATCTTGCACTAATGTCAATTTCAAATGAATATGCAGTGAAGATCTCTGACATTAGGTTCTGGTAGTGTTTCTCCTTGTTCTTGGATTTTGGAAATCAGTTGAAATATTAATATCTCATAAGCTTCTGAAGTTACTCTTCTAACAACAGATGTCACATTCCATTCAGCCAGTTGAAGAAATATTCTATTTAGGAAGGTTAATTCCTTATCATCAGACATTCCATAGGAAGTATCCTTCAACAGACTTTAGGAAAAATGATTTTTTAGATAGCTTTCCATCATCTAATTCCATTTATTTTCTTTGGAGATTGCAAGATAAACCTACAAGGCATAGTAAACTCAAGTTGTATGAATTCTTGAATAAGTGTGACCTCAGGTTTGAATTCAAAACAATCTTCTCAGAATTTTCTTGGAAAGATTATATGAACTGTAACTAGACAAGCTTTATAATTGATTCCCACAAATATGAGCATAAGGATTCAAAGATAGTTTGAGCATTAGACATATCAATGATGTTGATATACTCAAAATCGAGATAGAGCACCTACCAGAATGCATCTACCTCTGAAGATATTTTCAATAAGCTTCTTCTGAGCTAGTTAGAGAGACTTTCAAATTTTGATCATCCCTACACCATCAACTTCTATAGCAATACCTTTTTTAATGGCATTCTATAGACCTTCACAAAATCCTTTATCAAGTCCAGTGAGTTAAAAATATATTTAACTTTTCCATCATTTAAATTCAGCAGAATCACCCTTTGAATATGGTAGGTGTCATACCCCAAAATTTGACCCCTATATTCCATTATAATTTAGGTGCATCAATTATGTGTTATCTAACCTTAACCTTTTACAAGTTAATCTTTGTCAAGATGCAGATGAATTAGGATTTCACATTATCAAAATCAAGGATACTATGGACTGATCAGTCAAAGTTTTGGATTGATCTTCTACAAATCAAGTCTTCATATCATCAAGAGGCTCACATCTTGCCATGAACATGTGCTATTTGAGGTTGTTACCAAGAGAATAGGAGCAGTGCAGTGCAACACCCTGCTTAGGGTTTCTAGTGGAAAAACTCAACTGGAGTTTGAATTTTGTCTTATATGGTTTTCCAAAGCTTGAATCATGGTTCATGGTACTCCCATGACTTATTAAAGTCCCCCTCGGAAGTTTAAAAGGCTCAAAGAACCCAGAACGTTGAGGATCGATCCTGAAGATTTCAACTGTTCGGTTCGTCTGACTAGAAAATCAACTCTTCGACTTTTAGGGTTTTGACCCCAAATTGAAGCAAGCAAGTCTTCCAACATCATTTTGTGCCTAACTAGTGAGTTTGGTGGGGATTTAATCGGATTAATGAATAACTTGCAAATCAAGAAACTAGGGTTCATGAAAAAACCCTAATTTTAAGCCAACTTGAAATGATCATAACTTCCTAACCACACATTCAAATGGAGTGGTTCAAAGCTTGTTGAAAAGCTCTTGAGGAGCCCTGCGAAAGTGTCATATGGGGTTGAGGTCTAAAAATTCATAAATTTGGAGTTATAACCTCATCAAGTTGTGAAGAATTTCAACACTTAGAGAATTTTCATGTTTCTTGACTTGTAAGTCAACTTTTGCAACAAACTTCAAGAGGATTTTTGATATAGTTCCCTTTGGAAATTGAACTTGTGTAAGACATGAATGTTGTAGATCATGTTTGGGGATTTTTAAAAAGTACAAGAGCATTTTATTAACCTTTTTGGTTAGGGAGAATCGAAGAAGGTAAGTTGGGCATTTTTCATGTCATAAAACCAAGTTCAGCACTTGCATTTTGATGCATAAACCATTCAAACCCCTTCTAAACACTTGCTTAACTCATTCTTTGATGCTTAAGGACCTAATTGATGGGATTGCAATGCATAGCCACGATAAAAACTCATATTTTAGATTAAATGAATTGTTTAATCATGCAAGTGGATGCAAGTGGCAAGGAGAGAGAAATTGTTTGCAAGTTCTGTCACAAGTCAGCAACTACATCAGCTTCATTATTCCTTTCACTTAAAAACCACTATTTGCAGGCTATAGATGATGATGAAACTCATAGGGAGGTTGCTTAAACTCAGAAGAAAGATCTCAAGGTGGATTTGCTCCTTTTGCCTCTAAAAAGGGCAAAGTTGGCAAAATGATCCAATCTGCCTATGTCTC